ACAGAATCTAATTCCAGTGGGTCTTGAAATAAAGACCCCGAAAAACTGTCTTTACGTCTAAATACACAGCACAAGACGATTTGGACATTCACTTGTCTTTCGTGCTTGTACTTCAGTGATCAAACGCAGCTATTCAGTAATGAGATACTCACAGTTAACACAACGAAAAATAGATATATGTGTGTATGTGTTGTGATTGCGCAGATGATGTGTTATCGCCCAACCGCGATGGATCACAATTTACGATTGTTTTTATTCAGATGTCTGTATCAGCTTTATACGGCCGCTTTGGATGTGCTAATAAAAAGCCGAACAACACAAACTCTTCGATTGCTTCCAAAACTGTCTGTTTGCGTATCAAATATAAGTCAGTATTTCAATGTTAATATAAATTCATTTTTAGAGATTATTTTGATAGAAATAAGAGCTACTCCATCTTGATATCACTTCGAACAGGACAAATCACATTTCCCCAAACACTTAATGGAAATATTTAAATTCCGTAATGAATTTCAAAAGACCAGTCGGGAGGCAAACACTGCAAGAGGAATTCCTTTCATATACTGTCATCGGTCGCCTAAGTATAACACGAAACAAGATTGACAAATGAAATGAATTACTAATTGAATACCGGTACAACCGAAGTCTTCATGCAGTTTCACACCAATGAAACCTCCCGGTTAGTCTTCGATGTTTAACATTTGGCAACTTTAAATTACAAAATATAATTATGAAAAGGTTGACTTGGAAGGTGATCCAGAGACCCTGGGGTAAGCTAAGTGCTAACAGGCACGTTGTTGCTGAAATGCTGATAATTTGCCCATCCCGGTGCTACTGACTTGATTTGACCTGATTGTCGATTGGAGAATATCCTCGCTGAAGGATACATGCTAGTGACCCATGACCTGTGACAAGCAAACAGTTGCAAGACAACACAATTGGAATCACTGGGGTGGGGTGGGTTTCAAACGGATCGCCTGGCTCTCATCAGAAGCTGCGTATGCTCCAAGATAGTTCTGTAATAAAAATCTATCTGACTGCTCTTTTAAAATTAGTTGATCTTTCGAGTTGAGGACTGGCTAGGATCCAGTGATTTCCTATTCACTCAACGCATGAACGGTATACGGACAAGCCTGGTCTCGAGAAATCATGGGAACACAGATCCGCTTTTGCTTTGGACTCAGTTCTATCTTCCCCTTGGGTTTGCTCTCAACGTTCCAGTCCTCATTCTGCTCTTTTACCTAAATGAGTGACCAAAAGACATAAACCGGCGTACAAAAGTGCATGATTGGTGATCGGAAAAATTGAAACGGAAACTGTCGATATTATTGTGAATGATTGTAAACGAGGTTGTTCACTATTTTGTGCTCTGTCCATGATGTCTAAATATACACGATATAACCGTTTTTT